ATAACCTCCATTCAGTATGGAGGATAAAAAGTGCCAAAATTAAATAAATAAATACAGCATTAAATAAATAATTAACTGTGTCAATAATTAATTAAATGTGGAATTAAATGTGTCATTCATTAATTAAAACCACGTCACTAATATAAAGTGCCACAATTAAATAGATAGTGAAGAACAATTAATTAAATGTGTAATTCATTAAATAAATACGGAATTAAATATATAAATGTGTCATTAATTTAATAAAATACGTCTTCATTTTATTAAAAATATATCTAATTATTTCAGTGTGCATTTAATTATTTCATGGTCCTGTGTTGCAGTGCATTGAACTGTCAAACTCACCCATCAAAGTTAGGGGGCGGGGTTATCTAACACCTGATTGGTCACCCTGCACATTAAGGCGAAGCAAATCGATTACAGAGACTCGATTCGCATTAACCCCGCCCCCTAACTTTGATGGGTGAGTTTGACAGATTCTTTTAATGGTTTCGATGCACTGCGACACAGGACCATGAAATAATTAAATGCACACCGAAATAATTATATATATTTTTAATAAAATGAAGACGTAATTTATTAAATTAATGACACATTTATATATTATTTATTTAATGAATTACACATTCAATTAATTATTGACACATTTAATTATTTATTTAATGCTGTATTTATTTATTTAATTTTGGCACTTTTTATCCTCCATACTGAAGCGCCTCAGATGCTCCAGCTTCTCTAGACGCGCCTTGATGCGCATCGACCATCGACTAATGCTGCGTTCACACCGGACGCAGCTGGCGCGGCAGAAGCAGCGAGTTTACATGCAAAGTCAATGGTTGACGCGCGTCAAGGCGCAGCAAAGAGTCCCGCGGCGCGTTTAGAGCAGCAGGCGCAGCACGTCTGAGCAGCTGAAGCAGCGCGTCGGGCGCGTTTAAGCATCTGACGCGCCGCAAACGCGTTGCTGCTCGAGATGGAAAAATAGAATTTTTGCTGCTGGACGCGCCGCGTCAACCAATCAGAGAAGCTGATCTGGGAGCTGGCAGGGAGAGAGACACAGCGCTATGATCACTCCTCTTAAACAGTTTATTGACGCATAAATTAACTTAAAATGCAGAAATCTGCCGGCAGAATATGCAGTTTGGATTATTTAGATGAAAAACACCTACCAGCTGCCGCGATGAACCGCGAGGAGGCGACCCGGCCAGAGGCTGCTGATGAAGGGATCCTTCTGTCGGCGCACCGCTGGTATGTGGGGGTCTGAGCGGCTCCGACAGAAAAAATATTGAAGGCAGGATAATAATCTGAATGAACTGACTGCACTGATTACGTTATCAGGTGGATTTTCTCACTTAAAAACATATTAAAACTACTTTATTCCCACTGATCACAGCAAATATAGCTGCAAGGCAGAGAAAGGATAGTGAAGCTCCGCCCAACGCGCGTCAGACACACTTTTGCCCCGCGCAGCCAGAGCAGCAAAGCTGCTTCAGCCGCGCATCAGAACTAACTGGTACAAGCAGCAAAAATGAAGCAGCAGACGCCATTTTGCTGCTCCTGCTGCGTCCGGTGTGAACGTAGCATTAGTCTAAAGTCACAAACATTCATAATCATGCATTAGCGTAGAACAGAACCTCTGAAACAGTTTATTAACGCCTAAATTAACTTCAAATGTAGAAACCTGCCGGCAGAATATGTTGGCGTTTATTATATAAACATTCATATTCATGCAGCATCATTATACTAAATGATTCTGCTCTGTGATTGGTCCAGGTGGGCTGGCAGCTCAAATACTTGGTGGAGAAGATGAGGGCGGAGTCTGGAAGCATCACCCTGGTTCTGAAGAAGAGGCCTTCAGGAACATCTGGAATAGCAGCCGCTCCGCTCAAAAACCTGCGCTGGAGACCGCCGCTCGTACAGGTGAGGTCCAGAGCACGAAACCCGGCGGCTGAACAGCCCCCGCCCCTCTGCTGATGAAGAAAGATCCCCAGATGCTTCAGTGAAGCTGCTTCAGGTTTCAGTCTGTTTGTGCGTTTCTAGAACAATGGAGATGTTTTTCTTTCCTCCTTGTGCCTGAAAGAATCGCAGCAGGAAATGCTGTGAAGCGTTGGGAAGATGACTCATGGGTGAGACGGGCGGCTCAGGTCCAGGATGTGACTGTTTGAAGGAGATAAACGTCTTTAATGGCTCCCTGAAGGTCAGGGTTTGCCCGACCTTTCTTTCCTTCATTGTTCCAGTGTTCTTCAGGCTCATTCGAGCAAACCACGGAAACGAGGGACTAACAGGAAGTCACGGCAGAGCTGGACTTTCAGAGTAAAACACTGAAACTGAATCATATCAGGTTTACTTTAAAAGCCAGATGAACCTTCAGAATCTGGCCTTATTTTATGCTCCCTGCAGCTCAGTTCTGGAGGAGGGAACCAGCAGAATGTTTGGATCCTTCAGAACATCTAAGGAAACATCAGCAGGAACAGATTCGGACCTGTTTAGTTTCATCCATGTTACATTTCCTTTTTTCAGACATCTCAGGGCCCTCCGGGTTTCTACAGATCTCCACAACCCACAGAAGCTCCAGGGAGGACCTCCATCTTGGATCTCTACATCCCTCCTCCTCCAGCAGCTCCATACGTCCCTCTGTGAGTCTCACATTTCCCCGTTTTCTTCTGTCTCTCCGTCTCTGACTCTAAACCACCTCCTCTTCCTCCTCCTTCCAGGGAAAAGAACATCTCCTCAGTCGGGAAAACCCAAACCGTGTCGCCAAACTCGTCTCTGGATGCAGATGTTCACCGAAACCTGGCTGAAGACGGTCCTCCTGAAGTCAAGCAGCCGGTCCCAATCCGGCTGAGGCAGCGTTCCGCTCCACACGGTGAATAATCTTATACATCTTGCTGGCTTTCATAGAAGTCTGTAAATTTTTCCCATAGTTTGTAGAAACTTTGTAGTTTCCCTTGAACCAAACGTTGACAGACGGAGCTTCCATAGCTTCCCATCAGATTGCAATACGTTATTTATAAGAACATATATACCATCTTTTTCTCAGCATTCGACAATTTTAAGTCTGCTGGGACAAGTCCAAGAATGAGCAACTTAGGACAGACGGGTAATCTGGTGGAGCTAATGTCAGAGACTCGTAATATTACCTTTTCCCAATATTCCCTAATTTTAAGGCAGGTCCACAGGCAGTGATAAAGTGGGCGGGACCAAACAATAAACCAGATGCTAACTATTAGCTCTGCTCTTCGTTCCTCGGTTATCTGGAGCTTCCAGATGTGGAATAATTGATCCTCTCTGACCTGACGGCAAGGCCCGAAGGTTCAGAACTGATCCCAGTTCAGATCAGAGCCCTGTGGGACACCAGAACCCACTCTGCGACAAGAAGGAAGTGGAGCTCGTTTTGATGGGAAGTTGGACGAGGTTCTGATCTCTTAATTTTAGGTTTTCGGTGGAGGAAACTTCAGTTGAACGTTCTGTTCAGACTCAGTGGGTCCTGGTTTCTGGTCTCAGTTCCAATAGGTCTGGTTCAGATCCATGAGGAGAACGTAGAGTCCTGGGTTTGGGTTCTGGGGTGGAGAACCGCCTCAGGCTGGAGTTTGGATCAGGTCAGGTTAATGAATTCAGACTTGCTGCTCCTAAAGGCTTCTGTTTGTTGACCTTTTGCAGGCAAACCTCGGCCCATCTCGCTGCCGGTGGACTCCATCCTCGGCGTTTCCGGGTCTTCCTCCAAACGCAGAACTCAGGGAAGGAAAGGTGAGCTTCACACAGCGACTCTGAACCCGGAGCAGAACCGGCTGCAAGAAGAAACTCTGGGATTAGAAAGGGGCGGAGTCACAGGAAAAAAAATCTTTCAAACTTCGAAAAGAGAGAATTCATTTTCTCTAAATGTAGATAATTGTCAGTTTTTAGTGAAACATTTTAAAGCATAAATAAAATCCAGAACCAGGTGACCCGGCGGTCCAGTCCAGAACCGCCTCTGGTTCTGTCCCATTTTAACAGGATGTTTCACGCATTTAATCTGTTGTCTCGCCGTTCTCCTCTCCTCCACAGGTAAAGACGACCTGCACAGGTACATGAGCAACGAGCGGATCGGCGCCATTACCGAGGAGGAGCCGTGCTTCCCTGTGCCGTACCGAGGACACCCGTCGGCCCGCGGCGTCGACCACATCAGAGGCAGCCAGTGCTTCGTCAGCCCCGACCTGCACAGCAGCGCCACCATCCCTTACCAGGAAGCAGCCGCCAAGAAGGCACCTGCCGCTCCGGCTGCTCCTGCGGCTCCGGCCGGGTCCAAACCGTCACGCTCTCTGCTGGGAGGCTGGCTGGCTCGTCTCAGGATGCTCAGTCACTGAGGAGGAAGGATCCAGGTCTCATCGTTTAAAGTCTCAGCATGGCCGCCGGGTCGGAACACGGCAGGGTTGGAGTTGCCTTCCTCCTTGTTGGTACCTTTAATGTTCTGCTGGAGAGGAGCAGAGCCTTCAGACGTCCTGGACGGGTTTCTGCTGGGTTCTAATCCGTCCTTTGACCTCATCGTTTCTTTTCCCTGAAGCTTCAGTTCTGTCCTGCAGCTCTATGGTGTGGCGGTGCTTCCTGCACCCAGAACCAAAGCTGCTTCCTGGCTGCTGGTGGAAGAGCGGCCCGGTCTGAAGGTCTTCCAGCTGACGGACCTCCGAACAAACACGATGCTCCGGATCAGCAGAACATCAGCTGCTTCCTGCCACCTCTGCTCTGGGACTCATGTTTCAGACTGTGATGCTTAGAGGTGTTCCTCAGGGAGCTTTATTGGTTTTAATGTTTTAGTTCTAATGAGAAGAACATTTGTTTAAAGCAGAGAAACTGAAACTAAAGAAAAACTGGATCCTGTTGTTTAAAAACCAAGACTGTTCCAACCTGCTGAGATCCTCCCAGAGTCTGAATGTTTCAGGAAGCTGCAGGGTCACATGATCTCATTTAAGGCGTTTCGAGGCGTCTGATTGGTCGATCGTTTTCTTTAATGTCTGTTCATTTAAAGATAGGATTTATTTTCCTGCTTTGCTCTATTTTCTAAAGTGTCTTCACCAGTTTGAGGAATAAACAAGTTTAACTGGATTTTATTCTCATAAACCGAGTCGTGTCGTCATTGCTGAACCTGTTGATTGTCTCCTGAAATAATAATATCTGACTGGGACTGCTGAGGGCCCTGGAGAAATGTCCCTAAGGAGTTCCCATAGTCGCTCTCCTCACATCAAGGCTTCTTTATCTGCATGAAGTTCAGATCTAAAACGATCGAAGCAGAAATCCTGGAGGGTCCATCCGATTACGCTTTTATTCATCAGGCCTGAACTTCTAACAAAGTAGATGGATGTTTGGTGTGAAGTTCTGATGCAGATTAATTAAAGCTTTCATCTCATTTGTTGTTTTTTTTATGTTCAAATTGTGAAAAAATTACTTCAAATGTTTAAATAAAGGTTGAGAGCTGGTCAGATCCGGACCGTCTCTGCTTGGACGTGGTTCCACATGGAGAACCGGGTCATTTGTCCTTCCTCTGGGTTCAGCATTCCCAGTCTGCCCAGAGAGTTCACTGTGGTTAGCATCACTGCTGTTCATGTCCCCAACAGTGCGAATACAAGAGAGGCCATGAAGACTGTCTCTGAGCTTTAATCTGCACACAGAGGGCCTTTTCATTACTGCTGGAGATTTAAACCAGCCTAATTTAAAGACTAACTTTCTGCCTCATTTCTGCCAACATGTTGACTTTGCAACTCGGGGTCAAAACACTTTAGATTTAGCCTACTCTAACACCAAAGATGCATTCAGAACAGCCCCCCACCTCCACCTCGGGTCATCAGATCACCTATCTGTCATGCTAAATGCTGCATACAGGCCTCAGCTAATCAGGGCTAAACCGCTTCCGTCAGTGAGCCCCAGGGCAGCTGTGGCTACAATGTAGCTTGCCACCATCAGTGTGTGAGTGTGTGCGTGAATGGGTGAATGAATGTAGTGTAAAGCACTTTGGTCAAGTCTCCTGACTTGAAAAAAGGCGCTATATAAGTACAGGCCATTTGCCATTTTAAACCGACAGTGAGGGAGGTCAGAGTGTGGTCTGATGGGGCCATGGAGACACTCCAGGACTGTTTTGAATGCTCTGATTGGAACGTGTTCAGCCTACCTCAACAAATGCATTGAGGACTTCATCACCACAAAGAATATCTCCATCCAAGCAAACCAACCACCCTGGATGGATGGACCATATATATGAATGCTTTGAACCTCCATGTCAATGCGTTTTAGCACCATGTTTTTTCTCCAACACATTTTGATCACTGCTGCACTTTAAGGAATGAAAATGTCATGAGAGCTAAAAGAAACGAAAAGTTGTTTTCTATACACTGTGTATACAAAATCAGCATAAAAGCTGTCTGAGTCTTAGTCCTGTAGGAAGATCTGATCTTCCGGAAAGATTGAGACTTTTCCTGAACCAAAGTTTGAAGATCTTAGAGTCAGACTAGAACTGCACGTTGATCCCAGGTGTGGCTCAGTCTATCTGATCCATCATGGTTCTTTTCCATTAATCAGTCCAGCATGTCGTTCTAGGATGTAAGGAGGCTGATTCAATTCTATTCAGTTTATTTCTATAGCTCCAATTCACATCATGTCATCTCAGGTCACTTTCCAGTTCACCAGATCATCCAGTCAGATTGATTCAAAGTTTTCTATCTAAGGAAAACCAGCTGATTGCATCGACTCATTGACTCTTCAGCAATCCCTCACACTAAGCATGCTTGTAGCGACAGTGGAGAGGAAAAACTCCCTTTGAACAGGAAGAAACCTCCAGCAGAACCAGGCTCAGTGTGAGCGGCCATCTGCTGAGGCCCACTGGGGTTCAAGGAGACAGAAGCAGACATAGAAAAAGAAGCATAGATACAAAAGGCAACTGTCAACCAGCTCCACAGGCGGCCCCGTCCAGGAAACACACAGCCAGGCAGACGAGCTCCGAGCCAGCTCCCATGTCAGAGGATGAAGAGAGCACATCCAGTTAGTCACAGTCAGAGAAACAGGACTACACTGGAAAACAGGCCAAGCTCAAACATCAATAACATCTCCAGAAGCACCATAGAGAGCGTTCTGAGCAGCTGTCTCACTGTGTGGTGTGGAGGCTGCAGCGCCTCAGACTGGAAGAAGGTGAGAACAGCAGAGAGGATTTTTGACCTTTGGCTCATCTCTTCAAAGACGTTTTTTCCTGAAAAACAGGTGCTGCTCAGGCCACGCCCCCCTGATAACATAAATATGTTGATCACTTATATAGCCCTCTTTCAAATCAGAGGACTTGACCAAAGTGCTTTACATTACATTCACCCATTCACTCACACGCTGATGGTGGTGAGCTACACTGTAGCCACAGCTGCCCTGGGGCTCACTGACAGAAGCCAGGCTGCCGTACGCTGGCGCCATCTGACCACCATCAGGAGGCAATGCGGGTGAAGGGTCTTTCCAACAACCACACAGAAAGCTAGATCCATTGAAGGGCAATGGACCTGACCAGTTCACTGAACTGGTTCAGTTCTTTAAACTGTTCTTCAGGACATCTTCAGCTGCTCCAAAAGCCAGAAGAACTTTCCGGGTCTTTGTTTGGAGCAGGAGGGCCGCAGGGCTCTGCAGGCATAGATCAGGAGGAAAATACAGAGCAGATCTATAACAAAAGATCACTTTGCTGTGATGGTAAACTAGAATAAACCTAACCGAAGGAGGAAGGAAGTTGGAATCTAACTGATTTGAATCTATCCCTGGTTTTACTCTGAGCTTCACAGTGAAAATTGCTCATTTTCTTAAAAAAAAAAAAAACTCTAGGAAGAAAAGAAACGAAAAAATAGAGGAAGCTTTTATGTAAAATGTTGAGAAAATGATCAATAATGGAGCAGAAATGTCTCAAAGATCAAGAAAAATATCCATGAATATATTTTATTTCAGCATCTGATCAATTTTCTCTTCTGCTTGATGAGTTAAAATCTTTACCTGGAATTTATTCTCCTCATTAAAACCTAATAAATGTCGTCATTGTTACACCTGTTGGTTTGGAGCTTTGATCTTCCCCTGGGATTATATTTGATTCTTTTAAATCCCGTCTATAAAATGATGCTAAAATGCAGCTATAGGTAAACACCACCACCTGCTGGATGGATGTGATAACTACAGCTTCATATGATCTGATAAAATAGATCAAAACTATAAATATAAATTCAGATCCAACAAACTAGATAAAATCCAAATCTTAGAGCAATACATTAATAAATCATGATAAAGATCTTCAGTGTGGATTCAATCATATTTCTAAGGTCATTTCCAGAGATTTGCAGATTTCCTAAACATTTTAATCAAGTGTTGTTTGATTCTTTTGATTCAGAGGCGGTTTTTAAACCAAATTCACCAGAATGGAGCCAATTTTTTTCACGAGGCAAAATAATAAAAACCAGTTCATGGTTTGAATGATCAAATGAACCAAAGAGCCGTTTTCTGCTCTGTGATCCTAGATGGAAAAAATGACCTTTTTTCCTCCTAGCAGAAGGAAGGTGATGTCAGTTTGAGGTCATACTTTTGTCATAGATCTGTAAACAATCAGGGGTCCAAAGTTGACATTGTGTCGTTTCTCGGCCACAAGCTTTCATCCACATCACATGCAAGCATGATGAGTGCAGTGAAGAACCAGTGGAAACCAGTCTGGGACCAAAGCAGCCCAATGGAAACTATCGTTGCCTGATATGATGACGTATCTGGTTTCCTCTTCCTCCACCTTCTTCACCTCCACATCCTCTTCCTCCTCTAATCCTTACTCTTCTTTCTCCCTCCATTGTTCTCCACTCATATCTATAGTTATGAATTTATGTTATATTTATAGTGCTTAGGCTGATTGCAAAGGGAACTAATTATTTAAAGCAGTTTTAACATGTGGTAAAATAGTGTAAATAATAGCCATATATGTGTATAGTTTTACTAGAAGTGTGTTCATTTGGAAATGAGTTGTATTTACATTTCTGCAAAGAGGGTGCTGGGGAGAGGATTGTACCTACAGATTAGACTTAGACTCAACTTTATTAATCCTGTAGGTTTCCTATTCAGGGAAATTCTGGTTCCAGTAGCTTTTATAGAGCAGAAAGAGTCAAAGGAAGATGCTGTTAAAGATCAAAACTATGACAGAAAATGTAAAAAGAGTGTATTTAGTACAAAAAAGCATAAAAAGTTTTAATGTTCTGCAATATGTTTCCCTTAGATATAAAAATATCTGCCTAGTAGAGAGCTAAGGAAAGAATACACAATATCTGACTCAGAGTTTGTAATTTTGAAAAGTGGATTTTACAAAATTACAAACTGAGCGCAAAGCAGTGTTTGTGCTTTTAGTTTTGCAAATTCAGTGAAGGGTTTTGCTATAAATAATAATTAACTGTGCTATAAAAAAAATTATTGTTAGGGTTTAAATATTCAGAAAAAAACCTTTAATAAAGCAACAGTTGATTTTTATCATTATTAATATGGACCAAACATGCAGTTTCTGTGCATATCATCCTCTATTTATTAAACATTTACTAAGTCATATATCTTTAGGGGCCATAGGGGCCCCCATCTAGAAGCACCTGCTGTGATTGTAGGACTTTAGAATCAGAATCAGAATCAGAATCAAGTTTATTGCCAAGTAGGTTTGCACTTACAAGGAATTTGACTTGGTGTTGTTGGTGCAGACAAAAAACAAAACAAAATAGCAAAATAAGATAGAATATATATAAAATATATATATATATATATATATATATATATATATATATATA